GAAAATACGGCTTGTCCATTGCTGGCAGAGGCTGGAAGCCCAGCATTACGCGTCAGCCAAGGCCTCGCTGTTTTCCCTTTCACTGCTGCACTTCTCAGCCATGCTCCTCGTGTTTTGGGCACTGGCTTCCAGCCTGTGTATGGCTGGCTGCTGCTGTGTGCCCCATAGAGGCAGGGAGGGGAGGAGTGGGGCAGGCAGTGATCCGTGAGGTCTGTGGGTGCCGTGGCTGCAGGGCGCTGTGCGTCACCTCGTTGTGCGCAGTGCTTTCATTCCCTGGGTGCGGTGCCACCCCCAGGTCTTGCCTTGGCGAAGATGAAGGGATTACTGCGGGTCTGAGGACTGGGAAGCACATCTGCTCCCAAGGCAGTGGTTTAATGAGGGAGGGTTGGGAGCAGGCGTTCAAATGGGCAGATAGAATGAACCCAAAAGTCTGTGTCAAACTCTGCCGAATGCCATGGATCAGAGTGCCACGAGATGGAAACCCCAGGGCTGGATGCTGGGCCCTGCGGGAGGCTCAGCCATGAGTGGCTGTTGTTGTCAGTTGTGTCTCGCACAATCCCAGCCTTGTCCTCCCTGTGAACCTTCAGAAATCCTGCGCACTCCGCTCACAGACGTGGGGCTGGGCTGCATTAGAAACCAGCTGCTGCTGTGCTGCAACTTCTGTTCTGTTTTTGCAAAGGGGCAGGAGAACGTGGCAACCCCAGCAGCACGGGCACCACTCCATGCTCAGCCCTCCTCCCAGCCCGGCCAGCAGCATCTCATTGCATCTGATTGCATCTGATTGCATCTGATTGCATCTGATTGCTGGTGTTCTTCAATGGAGTGCAGTGCAACGGGATGCGATGAAATGCAATGAAATGCAGTGCAATGGGATGCAACACAGTGCAGTGAAATGCAATGCAATCCAAAGCCATGGGATGCAACCCAACCCAACCCAATGCAGCAGAATGAAATGAAATGCAATGGAATCCAAAGCAAAGCAATGGAGCACAGCACAGCTCTAACCCAGTGCAACATAATGAAATGCAATGGAATCCAAAGCACTGGAACACAACAGAGCCCCAACCCCACCCAAAATAATAGAATGCAATGGAATCAAAGCAATGGAACGCAACCCTAACCCGAAGCAAAGCATTGGAATGCAACACAAACCTTTTCCAATGCAACACAACAAAATGAAATGCAACAGAATCTAAAGCAGTGCAGTGCAATGCAACCCTCACCCAATACAAAGCAATGGAACACGACCCTAACAAAATGCAAAGCAATGCAATGGAACGCAGTGAAATCCAGAGCAAGGCAATGGAACACAACACATCTCTACCCCAATGTAACACAACAAAATGAAATGCAAAGGAATCCAAAGCAACGGAACACAACCCCGACCCAATGCAAACACAACAAAACCCTGGCCAGTGCAAAGAGATGCAGTGAAATCAATGGAATCCAAAGCAAAGCAGTGGAACACAACACAACCGTACCCCAGTGGAGCACAGTGAAATTAAATGCACGCTTCTCAGAGTTGTTCACGTGGCTGCTGCAGCCTGGCCCTTCAGCCTGGGATCCTGACCTGCTGCCATGGGAATTTCCCCATCTCCATTCAGCACAAATGAGCCAGATGTCTGCGTATGATTCCAACACAGGTCACCTGCTCAGACTGGAAACATGCAGGCACTTCTTTTGTCTTATTTCTGGTGCGTGATGGGAAAAGCTACCAGGAGACAGAAAAGCAAAGGTGGTCAACCACAGTGCAGTGGAGACATCCGCCCTGCAGTGCTTCCATTGCCTTTTCCTCTGGGCATCCTCCCCTGCTGTCTCCTCCTCTGCTCAACTCCACCTCTGTGTTCCCCCCTGCATCTCCACTGATCTTGTGCATTCAGTCTTACTTTGATTAATTTGATCCAGTCAATCCTTTATTCCCCAGTGAAAACCAGAAGTTAAAATAAACCTCACAAATCCGAGCCAATAATTCAGGTGACAATAATTAGGAAAAACCCTCATCAGGGAGAAAATAGCTGGCAGAGGGGCACGACACAGAGGAAACTTTTTTCCTAAAGCCAAGCTGGGCTCAGCCTTTGCTCGTGAAATTAATTACGATGAATTAAAAGAGTCAAAGATGAGCTGCTGCAGCCCGGGTCTCATTGCTGGCCATGAAGAATGAAGGGCTGCACCAAGGAGGCTGGGGAAATCTCCTTCTGGCACAGCAGCCCAGCCGTGCCCCCAGCGAGCCGGGCTGGGTTTGCTGTGTGCAGCCCCTGGTGCTGCTGTGCCCAGAGAGCCTCCGGATCCGTAGCATGGAGCTCTTTCCCAGCAATCCCTCCTCATTTCCAGTCCTGCAGCCCTTTCCAGGCTGGGGAGCCGCCTCTGAACTCCAAAACCAATGACATCACGCTGAAGCCTTCAAGCATGTGATTTCCCAGCCCTGAAATGAAAGCCGTCTCTCCAGGGGAGGCAGAGACTCTGTGCAGCTGTGCGAGAGCAGCTCCCTCTGCCCCGAGCAGCGCTGCGGGGTCACAGAGCCAAGAGAGGAATCCTACCAGGAGCTCCCATCCCGGCTTTGGGACGGTCTCGCTTCCCCACCCCATGGCTACAATGGGACACGCAGAGCACAGCTGGGTTCCTTCCTGGAACCCCCACACTTCTCCTTCCTGACTGCTCTGCTCGGCGCCTTGGAAGCTGCCTCCATCAGAATGCTGGTGGGATGCCAGGGGTCCTGGAAGCACTGGGTGAGGTGCAGCCCAAGGCACCATGCAGCCCTTGACAACGCGCAGCCCATGGCACAGAGCAGCAGCTCACCACGCTGATGGTGTTCACGGATGCGTTGTTGGAAGCGCCCCTGCACGGCCGTGTGTCTGCTGTGGGATCTCTCATCCTGCAAACACTGCCCTGTTTTATTTCTTCCGCATCTCACACCACTGGGTTCCTCGTTCATTTGATGAGAGCTGGGCACAGCCCCGCACAGAGGTTGGAAGTGGACTGCATCTCCATGCTGTTTTTGGCCAAAAATGAGCAGAAAACCCATGGTGCAATCACAGAACCTCAGACCCATGGAATCATCCACGCTAGAGCAGGCCTTCAGGGTCACCGAGTCCAGCAGTCAGCCTGAGCTCTTGGGTCTCACCACTACACCACGTCCCTCAGTGCCATGTCCATGCAGTGGGGATGAAGCACCCCTTTCCATGCAGAAATCTCCCCTGACACCCAACTTAACGCCCCTGATGGGCACCCAGCTGCCCATCAGCACCCCAGGTTCTTTCCCACCGGGCGCCTCTCCATCCTCTCCTCCCAAAGCCAAAAGTGGCTTTGTTGGGAACCAAGAGCAGGACGCAGTGCTAACCCTCACTGTACGCCATGCAGTTGGGCTTGGCCCATCGGTGCAGCCTATGCAGATCCCTCTGCCACACGTGGCTGTGCCCTGGAGCTGTGCCGCGCAATTCAGAACAGCTCACACTTCATGCAGTGCTTCAGCCCAACCTCTGGAGCCATCTGTGTGACACAGGACCGCCCCCAGTTTACTTCTGCTTAACAACATGATGTCTGAGCCTATCTCAGAGCCCTTAACAAGTGGCTCCAGCAATTAATTACCTACTTCCCTGGACACTTCCCTCTTGCTCTTCCTTCTTCATCGGTGATCTGGATGAACGCTCTCTGGGTGTTGGGGGGGGTGTCCATGGTGCAGCTGCCTCTCAGGTGCCTGGAGACCCACTGTGAGCTGGGACACACACCTGGGAGCTGCATCACCCTGCAGCTGGCATCCAGCTGTGCTATGCTGATGTCCAGATGTGCTGCACTCACGCCCAGCTGTGCTATGCTGACACCCAGCTGTGCTGCAGCTGCCCTGCCGGCTCTTGCAGTGCTCAGGTGAGCACTCACCCTCAGGTGAGTTTGCAGTGCCCCAGCACATCCCTCCCCAGGGGGAATATCTGAGGAAGATGGGGAAGAAGAAACAGAGCACCATTACAGCTCATTAAGAGCAAAGGTCAAGTGTTTCAGAGGAGACCAGGCGGCTGATTAATTACAATCAGAGAATCATTAGGGTTGGAAAAGACCAAGACCCCAAAGTCCAACCCCAGTGCATCCCCACTGAGCACAACCCTCTGCTTTAACACCTTTTCCCACTCTCCCAGCCTCGGCCATGCTGCAGAACAAAGCATTCCCATTGCTTGTCGTCCTACAGCCTCTTGTTGCCAGATTTTGGACAGCCTGTCTGACAGCCCACAGCCCGACCTGCAGAGCCACAGCTGTGTTTTGCAGCTGTTTGGTTTCAGGTCGTGTTTTTGGAAATGACAACACAATCTGCACCGCTCTGCCCTCAGCACCGCCCCTAACGGAGGGACCTTTGCACTCCTGGCTGCTGTGCCAATATTCGGCTGGGTTGGTGTGTGTGTGCAAGGAGTGGGAGCTTCGTTAGCGCTTTGTTAATTAAGCACCTGCAGCAACACGGCATAAAAACGCACCCAGAGGTGCTCCCCTGGAAGGGTGAAACCAATCGGGCGGAAGTGCAGCAAAGTGCCAAAACGGGCAGAATTTGGGGGTGTTCTCTCGAGGTGCTGCCACTGGGCTGTGGGGTCGGGGGATGGAGTTAATTAATCACGGTGCTTTGTGCCTGCACGCCCAAACCCACCGCCTCTTCCCCAAAATGCTGCTGAGGTCGCTCTGAGTTCCCCAGTTAACACTGATTCTCTAATTGCCCTTGGGTGACCTAGCTTCCCAGGAGCAGCTCTCTGCTCTACCGCTGTTGACATCCGTAACAATTCCGGACTTTTTGGGTCATTCTGATTAAGCGGAGCGCAGTGGGCGGGGTCCTCCCGGCTGCCGCCGTGCCGCGCTCTGCCGGCAGGGGGGGGCCATACCCGCTTGCCGCCAGTAGGGGCCGCTCTCGCCTCGCAGCCAACACTCCTCTATGGCCGGTAGGGGCCGCTCTCGCCTCACATCTACCACTCACTGGTGTGGAGGGGGGGGGGCCCACCTGAGGTGAGGCGGGGCCGCGCCCCCTTCTCCTCCCCCCCCGCCCTTCGGGGTGCGGCGGCGGCTCGGAGCCCGGCGTCCGCTCGCATACACACACATACACACGCATACAGCCGTATACACCCGTATACACCCGGAACCATGGCGGAGCAGGAGAGCTTGGAGTTCGGCAAGGCCGACTTCGTGCTGCTGGACGCCGTCACTATGCCCGAGTTTATGGGGAACCTCCGGCTGCGGTGAGCGGGGGGGTCTGAGGGACGGCAAGGAGTGTGAGTGGGGGGCTTTGAGTGGGGTGTGAGTGGGGTCTGTGAGTGGAGTTTGTGGGCTCTGAGTGGGCTCTGTGGAATGGTAAGGGATGTGAGTGGGGGCTGTGGGACTCTGAGGGGCTTTGAGTGGGGTCTGAGGGCTGTAGTGGCTCCCAGTGGGGTCTGAGGGGATTTGAGTGGGGTCTGATGGGCTGTAATGGCTCTGAGTGGGGTCTGAAAGCTCCCATTGGGTCTGTGGGATCTGACTGCATTCTGAGTGGAGTTTGTGGGGCTCTGAATGGAGTCTGTGGGACGGTAAGGGATGTGAGTGGGGTCTGTGGGACTCTGAGGGGCTTTGAGTGGGGTCTGAGTGGGGTCTCGGGCTGTAATGGCTCTGAGTTGGGGCTCTGAGTGTGAGGCTCTGAGGTGCAGCGATGGGGTCTGTGGGACTCTGTTGGGATGCTGAGGGTTTTGAGTGGAGTCTGTGGGACGGTAAGGGGTGTGAGTGGGATCTGAGGGCTTTGAGTGGAGTGTGTGGGACTGTAAGGGGCGTTGAGTGGAGTCTGGGGGTTCTGAGAGTGGGGTCAGTGGGACTGTAGTGGCTCTGAGGGGTTTTGAGTGGGGTCAGAGTGGTCTGAGGGGATCTGAGTGGGGTCTGAGTGGAGTCTGAGAAGAGTCTCTGGGATTCTAAGGACTCGGAGAGGCTCTGAATGGGATCTGAGGGGGCTCTGAGTGGGCTTCAAGTGGGGTCTGAGGGACTCTGAGGTGCAAGATTGGGTCTGTGGGACTCTGTTGGGATGCTGAGGGGCTTCGAGTGGAGTCTGTGGGGCTGTAAGGAGTGTGAGTGGGATCTGAGGGCTCAGTAGTGTGAGTAGGATCTGAGCGGAGTCAGTATTCTGAGTGGGGTCTGGAGGTTCTGTGTGGGCTCTGGCGGACTTTTTACATGTTCTGATAGTGATGGGAGTGGGGGAACTGGGGGAAATTCAGGTTAGGTTTTAGGAGGAAAATCTTCACTCAGAAGGTGGTGAGGCTCTGGTACAGGGAAGTTGTGGTGCCCCATCCCTGGAGGTGCCCACAGCCATGGGTGGGACCCAGGGCAGTGTGAGTGGGGGGCAGCCAGCCTGTGGTGTGGGGTGGGGCTGGGGGTCGTGAGGTCCCTTCCAACCCAACCATGCTGTGATTCCATGGTTCTGTGGTCCTCAAGATCCCTTCCAGCCCAGCTCTACTCAGCCCAACCCAAGATTCCATGGTTCTACGACCTCTGAGGTCCCTCCCAACCCAACCCTGCCGTGATTCCCTAATTCTATGATCCTTCCAACCCAACAACTCCGCAGTTCTGTGATCCCTGAGGTCCCTGCCATCCCGGCCATACCACGATTCCCTACTTCTGTGCCCTTTGAGATCCCTCCAACCCATCCCTGCTGTGATTCCGTGGTTCTGTGATACTTAAAGTCTCTTCCAACCAGAGCTGTTCCACAGCATGCCTTCCAAACTCTGAACTAGAACCCGAAACGTCTCTCCTTGCTGTGTTTATATTCCCAAACCTTGTTTTTTGCTGTTGTTTACTGATGATTGTTGGTTTTAAAAATGAGATGTTTAAGCAGAAATTGCCCTTTTCTGTGGAGATGATAACCGTGACGCAGGTTGCTGTTCTTAGCAGGAAACTTGTAGGTAACAGGCTGTTCTGGGGGTTTATATTCTTTGGTTAATGTGTAATAGGGATCTCGATGAAACAGAAGGATCATCATCAGATAAATAAAGGATCAGCAGGCTTCCATTTGGGACTGGAAGGAACGCGCCCAGCAGCGCCGTCTGCTGTAGTTTTGTCCAAAAGAGCATAAGAACAAACTTCCTATTTGGGATCCTTACGTGTGCTGTGCAGAATTCAGTGCTGGTGGTGCTGCTCTGCGAGGATCCTGGCTCGGTGTCCCTGGGGTGCAGAAGCAAAGCCTGCCCTCGGCCCACTGACCCGTGCTCTGCTTTACGAGCGTTCCCAGCAACGCCGAGTTCTTATGGCCTTACAGCCTTGGAGGTGGTGATTAACAGCAGTTTTAAATCCCGTTCCAGCCAAATTGCAGCCCAGGCTGTGACCGGGGTGGGGGTGTTGTCGGTCCTGTCACGACAGGACGGGGAATTGCTGCCTCCCTGTGCTCCCTTGTTGGAGCTGGGTGCTCTGTGCAGCGCCCAGCAGTGCCGTGCTGCGCCGCAGCCATTTTGGCACGGGGTCAGCGGCTGACCCAGATTGGGCTGTGCTGGATGTTGTTCCCAAGCGAGCCCAGATGTGGGAGGAGCTGCAGTCACAGCAGACCTGGGGCACGCAGGGATATTTCCCAAGGGATGTGTGCAGGAGAGATGGGCAAACGGGGCTGCGTGGGGCTGCGGGCACAGTGAGGATTTACTGCCCCGTCCCCCCTGCTGTGCCTGCTGCTCTGTGATGGTGCACAAACATCACAACCATCCGCCTGGAGGTTCTGTGAGACGTTCCTGGTTTTAGTGCTTATTCACAGCCCTGCAGCTCCTCGAGTTTGGGGCTCTCATGCAGCCCTTGGGTGTTACACAATTAATTGTAAATAAAAGTCATCCGGCCCTTGAATTCCTTTGTCCTGAGTGCGTGGCTGTGATTAGTAGTCATCAGAATAATGCAAAGAACTTATGGAAGGCAGCTGCATCTGAGCAGTTTGCATCCGAGTGGCTGATGGCTGGGCTTTGCTCTTGGTGGGCTGGCTGTGCTGGGTTGGGTGGCTCAGCTCCTCTCGGGATCCAGGGTTGATGGGAAGACCCCCAAAGAAGGGAATCCCTTCCTGCATTCCCCACCGGGTGCCCCTGTAGGACGTCCTGTCATCACACCATCGTGTGCACGTCGATGGAGGAGCGCTGGGATTTCACTTTCTGCTCTTCTGTGGTCTTGATCTTACTCTAAAGTGAACAGGCACTTTCTGTGCGATGCTGAATTCGTGCTGTGGGTCTCTTATCTTTTGTTAGCTGGGCAGGGTTGGCTTTGCACCGGGCAGTGCAGGAAATGTCTTTTAGTGGGAATATTGCGTGAATGCCTGGTTTCGCTGTGCTCGCAGTGATAAATATTTGTGCTTAATGAACAACTCTTCGTGCCTTTAAGCCGCTTTAATTTCCTCCTCGATGAGATCCGAATATCTGAACTGCTGGCGCGGTGTGGGATGGAGGATCAGCTCTCAGGGCGTTGTGTCAGAATTTGGAATGATTGGAATGAAGATTGCCCCCTCGTCCATCAAAACGCCCCGTGCAGGCTTGGCCAGGCTCCAGCTCATCTTCGTCACGGCCGTGCAGCTCAGTGAGCCCCAATGGCAGAGCTGTGCCAGCAGCAAGGGAACGCTGCCCGGGCAGCGCCTGGAGGCGGCACGTGGGGTCTGTCAGCACCGATCGCCTTCTGAGTGGCGCCTGCTGAGGGTCAGCCTGGACATCGGCCCCGTTCTTTGGGCTGACCTGAGCTGCTCTCCCAGCAGTGCCCTTGAGGAGCCCTTAGCTCCTGTCCACAGATGCGCTGCCCTGTGCACGCCTTCAGGCTGCCTGAGCATTTCCCCTCCTGTCCCAAGGACCGAATTCCCTTCCTGCAGCAGATCCTGCTGCTTGGCTGTTGCATCACTGTTTGTCCCTCGGTGCCTGGGCTGTGATTGCATCTTGGAGGGCTTTCGAAAGGGAGCACGTGGGGCTGGGGCTGACCTTTCTGACTGGCTGGCCTTCCAGCTCCAATGGTTCCGTGCCCATATAAATGCCAGCAGACGCTGCCTGCTCCCCTGCTGATGGCTGCACAATTGTCCCGCTAGGAGGGTCAGCACACCGTAACAGCTGCTGGTCGTGCTGATCTGCCCCAGTGGTTTCCTGCTTCCGGATGGGATCGGTGCCCACAGGAGCTGGGTGCTCTGAGGGTTGGCTGCCTGAGCTGGGGCTGCTGCTGAGGTGCTCAGAACGGCTCAGAAATGCTGCCTGCATGCTGCAAAGCACGCACCTTTCTTTGCATCCCAGCACGCAGACAGAAGCTGTGCTGCTCCTCCCTTTGCTCGCAGGGACAGAAATACCTCCGTATTCTTTGCTCGGGATGTAAACAGCTCCTTGGAACAGGAGCTGTGAGGCTTTGTTGAAAAGTGCTTAGCAATGACAAAAAAATGTTATTTCCGAACGGATTTCTGTAGCTCTGAAGGGTTGGTTGTTTTTTTGTTTTTTTTTTCTTTTCTTTTTGCAAATGAAAGTCCAAATTTACCACAAAAATGTCCCTGTAACCTCTTATAATTCAAAACATATTACTTGCTTTTCAAAAGCACAGGCAAATTACCAGGGAGGCTTTCTAAAATAAGAGCGAGGGGCAGATGTGTGACTGTGGGCAGCTTCCTTTGCTGGTCCGTTCTGTGCCCCGCTGCTCTGCGGGTTTTGCACCCAGCAGCGCTGAGTGGTGAGGACACAAAAGGAGGATCTTCGTTTCTCCTTTTCACATTAAATGCAGTTTTAATGTCTCCAGCAGAACGGGATTCTCCTGTTGGTTCTCCCCGCTCTCCGGGCAGCGCTGGCTGCCAGGGATGCAGACATTCCTCCAGCAGACATCCCCCATCCCTGGCAGCTCATTCCCATCTCGTTATCTGAGCCCCTGTGTGAGTTCAGATGGAAGGTGGATGTGTGCGAGCCCCTGGAGGGCGGCAGCAGCCAGGTGTGATAGCAGCAGGTCGGAGCTAATTGCAGAGGCTTCGCTGAAGTTTTTGCAGTCGCTCGATAGGAAGCGTGTTTCCCATTAAGGGCTGACATTTTTGGAGACTCGTGGCACGGGGGCAGGCTGCTCAGTGCCCAACCCGAGATGTGCTTTTACCCAGAACTTCTCAGCTGCTTCTTTCCGAAGGGGAGAACCCAACGGGGGCTCAGGGCTGGGAGCAGAGCCGTGTGGGGCCTCCGCGGGGAGCAGGGAGCACGGAAACCAAGGAGGCTTTGGTGGTGGATGGTGTCTGCACAGCACGGCGTGGGTCACCTCC